TTCAGACAGAGTGAGGACCTGCCTCCTCAAGGCTCAGAGTCTGTTTCAGACAGAGTGAGGACCTGCCTCCTCAAGGCTCAGAGTCTGTTTCATTAAGGAAAGCCCCTCAGTGCGAGACATTCCAGGACAAGAGTCGGTAAGCTTTCTCTGTAAAGAGCTCGCTAGTGTGTGTTTTCTGCTTTGTGGGCGGTGCTGTCCCCACTGCAGCTTCTCAGCTCCGCCCCTGTAGCGGGAAAGCCGCATAGCTGATAGGGGCCAGTGGGTGTGGCTGCGTGCCAATAAAGCTTTATTTATAAAAGCAGGATCTGACCCCCTCAGACTTGGCCCGAGGGCTGGGGTTTGCTGACGCCTGCCCTCAGAAGGTTAAAGCATATTCTGGCTTCTTCTTGGCAGAAAAGCCCAATCTTCATATTGAAACCTTAAATAATAGCAACTACCAGTAGGAACTAGGCAGGTCAGGTCTATCCGGGACAAAGTGAAGAAGGAGCGAGCAACTGTTGCGTTACAGCAGGATTGCTGGGCCACCTCCTTCGATAAGTAGAACATCCACATCTGCTTTCTCCTCGTGGTTTAATAACGAAGGAGAAAATAGAACACTCCTAGATTGGTTTTCGTACCCCCTAATTATCCATCTGAGACTGAGTGGATAGATCTGGCCAAACTCTGAACTCATAAAGGGAATGTCCCAGCTCTGCTTGTACCTGGGTCACATATTTCTGGTCATTAAAAGGTACCATTTATGCTCCAAATAGACACTTTATGGCCTTTCTAGAATAAACATTTAATTTGTAATCCTTTAAAATAGCATTAAAAACAAAAGCCTAGAATACGAGTGCTTCAAATTTTTCAGATGCTTTTGGTCTCTTCTAGGTAATTGTGAGAGCTGAATTTTGCCAGTTATTGACTAATTGTGCCAATTAGTGTTACTATCGGGACTGGCTCCATAATTTGCAGGGCGCTGTGCAGAATGTAGCGATGGAGCCCTCACTGAACACTTAATTAAGAATTTGAAGACAGCGGCAGCAGAGCACTGAACCGAGTGTGGGGCTCTCGTGAGTGTGACTGCCAGGCCAAACGCCCAGGAGGCCAGCCCTGCTGGCTCAGTCACCAGGGCTGCTATTATAGCAGGGCCACAGATGGGGTCAGGGAGCGCTTATGCAGGAGAAGTTTATGTCTCATAGTTCTGGAGGCTGGGCGGCCAAGGTCAAGGGCTGGTTTCTCCTGAGGCCTTTCTCTGTGGCTTGCCGAGGGCTGCTTTCTCCCTGTGTCCTCACGTGGCCTTTGCGCTGGGCACACACATCCCTCGTGTCTCCCTCTCTTCTTATAAGGACACCAGTCCTATTGGGTCAGGGCCCCGCCTTCGTGACCTCATTCAAGCTTAAATACCTTGGGGGTTAGGGCTTCAACATAGGGATTTTGAGGTGGTACAGTTCAGTCCGCAAGACCTGCTAACTCTTGATTGCTTTTCAATAACCCTGGGTTGAGTGCTTTACCTCAACATAGCTGCAGATGGTTCCTTTGTGACATCAAGCCTAAGTCATTAGTGCTTCCCAGGGTTTGAGGAAGAGAACTGGGCCCTTGTGGCAAGAGCGGTGCAGTTTTATCCCCAGCATCCACCCTCCTGCAGGGCCGTGTCACAGGCTTATGAAATTGAAGCCACCGTGAGTAAGCATGGCAGAGTGAGCATGTCTAGGACTGTGGGCTAAGGAAGTTTGCTTTCTGACTCCAGCGTCTGCACCAGCTAGGTTGAACAGCAGCATGGGGTGGTGGGTCCCAGGGGAGAGGTCTCCGTTACCATGCAGAGGGGACCCACCAGAGGAAAAGGCACAGACAAAATGGTTGAAAACTAAGCTGGGCCTTGATATACAGGAAGGATTTGGCTAGGCTAAAAGGACCAAGGGGCCTTCATCAGCAAGGCAGATGGTATGAATAAAAAATAGCTAATAATAAGAGTAAATGTGCATTAGGTGTTTGTTAAGTGACAAACACTTTTCTCAGAGTTTATAATATGTTCTATGTCATTGAATCCTCATAAAAACCCTACAGAGTGAGTACATTTATTAAAGAAGATGGTACCTGTGTAGACTGAATGAGACACGGAATGGAAAGGGACTGGCCCATGAGAGGGGTTCAGTAAATGGTGGCCATTGGGCCTGTTCTAACCTGGCCAGCCCATGGGACGGGCATTGTGTCCTCTAACTCCAGCATCGAAGATCCTTGCTGGCCTCACGCTGGGTGTACATCACATTTTCTTTTTCTTCCCGTAGCTGCGATTCTAATTGCAAGGTCATCACCTCCCTGGTTTATAGTAGACAGACCTTTTCTATTTTTCATCCGACATAATCCTACAGGTAAGCGGCTCTTCTCTTCCATTGTTCGCTAGCTGTTAGAATTCAGAAAGGTATATGGAATCATAGTTAAATCCAACCTTGCTTCTCTTAATTCATCTCCCTTGTGTCAACGATTGCCAGCACTTTGAATAATAGAACCGCCCACCTGGAAGAGATAGGAAAACCATGGCTGTGTTTACAGAGTGTGATGGAATCTTTTAAACACTGATTTTAGGTTTGTTGGTTTGTTTCTTTTTAACATAGAGCTCTGCGGCCCTTTTGGGGATTTTTGACAGCTATTGATCTTTTTGTCCACATTTTTGTAAATGCAGTAGTTAAATTTTGTAAGAAATTACCTGTCCTCAACCTCTGTAAGCCCCCTCTATTGTTACCGCCCGAGAATTGTTAATTCGATAGATCTTGGCTCCCTAAGTCATGGGTTCAGAGTTGGCTCTGTCCTTTAGCTTCATCTTTAAAATGTGGATAACGGTAGTTCTTACCGCTCAGTACAATTATGAAGAATAAGTCAGATTGTCTTTGTGGAGAGCTAACTAACACAAGCTTGTTCCTTAACCTTTTGTCTCACCGTATCTTTAATGTTGTAATTTGTGTGCTTCTGCACCAGAGTCCAATATGGGAGCCTCAAGCCACACGTGGTTATTTAACCTTAACTTTTAATAACTAAAATGGAATATAACTTAAAATTCAGTTTCTTAGTCAGACTAGCCATGTTTCAAGGGCTCAATGGCCACATGTGACTAGTGGCTACCATATTGGACAATGAAAATATAGAGTGTTTCCATCACTGCAGAAAGTTCTATAGGATAGTACTGCTTGAGAACAATAGGTTAATCGCAGCCTAGAGACTATCCCTTAAATACGCTTTATTATCTTATTTTAAGAAATGTTTTTTATAGAGTTACACCTTGTTTCCTTCTAATTCTGTAGGTGCTGTCTTATTCATGGGGCAGATATACAAACCCTGAAGAGTGTACAAGAGAAACCATGCAAAGCAAAGGCTCCTTTGCAATGAAAACAAGACTCCTTTCCTACATCTTTCATAGTTCTGTTAAATATTTTTGTACATTACTTTCTTTTTCAAAACTAGTTCTTAGGAACAGAGACTCAATGATGCAAGCATTTCTGTTCTGGGACATATATCAAAGGGAAAAGGGCAGGATGGCTGGAACACTGTACTGACAAATGAATAGAAAGGCTTCAAAATGTCTAAAAAATCCTTTAAACTACTGAGCTAACCCTCTTGAGTATTTACTGTCCAGTTCAGGAGTTTTGTTTTGTTTTGTTTACATGTGTGGCATTTCAGAAGAAATTGAATCAGTGTGACGGGGAAAAAATTTTAAAAAAAATTAAAAAAAAAAAAAACACACCAACACATTTTATGGTAGCTTTTACTTTTTTATGAAAAAAATATTATTGGCCTTTTTAATTCTTTTGTTTGGGTCCCATCCAAAGTCTTGATAGTAAGTATTATTTCGGGGGTAGAAATAGTGAAATCTCTAGCCTCTTTGAGTGTTTTTGTTGTTGTTGTTGTTTTCTATAATGCATGTATTCACTAAAATAAAGTCTAAAAAACGAATGTCTTGCTAGACAAGGTTTGCTATTGTGCAGTGTGCCTGTCACTACTGGTCTTTACTCTTTGGATTTACATTTTTGTATTTTGTACAAAGTAAAAAATAAAGTGTTATGAGTAGTAAAAAAAAAAAATGCCATTTCTCTGTGATTGAAAATACAACAAAAGAAACAGAGCCTTTTAAAAAGACTTTAACTTCTTCTACTAAACCTTTGCACTCGGGCACGCGGCAGAAAACCCACGGCCCCTGGCCTTGTCCTCCTGTTTTCCTCTAACGCTGGCAATCAGACACTGTTCCCTGCTTCACCACCTCTCAGCTTCCAAGTCCCCGCCTAGGAGGAGAGGAGGCTGTGCGGGGGCGATCCCAGCCCTCATATCAGCAGTGGCTCCCTCCCTCGGTGCAGGATTCAGAATGTTCCCAGCCGAGAGTAGGGTTTTATAGCAAGTGCACACGGAAGGTGCTGGGTCCTGAGACACTTTGAACTCAGGAGTGAACAGCGCACGTTACATTTTTGGCGCTCGGCCGGAGTGTTTGTTTCCTGATAGGACAAGATTTTTTGTTTTCTTTTGTTTTCGGAGAACTGCTCACAATTCCAAGGTTACCACTTTTTGTTTGCCTCGTTTGTTGTTGTTTTTGCTTTACTAATTTCCTAACGTTTTGAGTCATTTTCTAATATCAGAATGCTTTAAAATACGTATCAAAACTTAAAAACATTTTTTAAGACCCATGAGCTCGACTCATCATTCTTTATACATTAAAACTTTACATCCAACCCTCCAACAAGTTGCCATTTGTGATGCTTATTTGTCAAGAGGGCTGAGCTTTGCTGTTTGCAACTATTTAAGTACGGGTACTTGGGTTAGCCAAGAGAGAAAGGAAGGGGGGCGGGTAATTGCTTTCCTTAATTAAGAGTAAATGCCAGAAATTTATTTTGAAGGGTTTACACAGACTACCTGTACTCTAGCGAACATGCTAGTATAGTTATTAATGCCTTTTAGAGGCAGTTTTACTCATTTTCTGGTTTTCTGGTCCCATTCTGTTATGTTATTTTTAATAGTTTAAGATAGAAATAGTGTTAGCAGTGATCCAAGAATTATACACTCCATTTATTCATTTGGGTACCTACTGGACACCAGGCATTACGGGGTACAGAGATAAATACGTCCTTTCCCCAACTAAGGTAATCATGAAAGGGAGAGCGTGAATTCTAGCTTGGCCAAATACCTAACCTGTGTAAGTATATTTAAAAGATATGCAAGTAGGACCAAGTGGGCATTAGTCCAAAAAAGAAGCCTAAAAGTGGATACAGGGCCAAGACTAAATCCCTGAGCTCTTGGCTCCAGCAGTGCTCATTCCAGAAAAGACCAGGAGAGTTTGCTTTACTTCCCTCCCTACCCCCACCCCGGCAAGTAGGCTCCACACCTAGCGTGGAGCCCAGTGCAGTCCTCAAACTCATGACCCTGAGATCAAGACCTGAGCTGTAAAGATCAAGAGCCAGACACCCAATGGACTAAGCCACCCAGGCACCCCAAGAGTTTGCTTTTCTAATATCGCCTAGTAGAGTGGCCCTGTTATGTGTTACAGATAGTCTGTCCCCCCAAAATAGAAATTGGTCACATTTTACTGGGCACATTAAATTTTGAAGTATCTGGTCCCATTTCTGAATGCCTCTTCAGTATATTAGATAGTAAAGTTTCAAATTAATGATATAGAGAACTTGGAAGAATCGCATAGAGGAATCATAAAATCAAGGTTCCTAGACTATATTTCTTCTCTGTTTCACTTGACCTTCCCAGCTCATCTTTAGCCCTTCCTTACCCATCAGCACCCAGATTCTGACCTGACTCTGGTAGCTTCTAGAACATGTTGATAATCTCTGGACTGGGGGAAAGTTCTTCTCAAATTATTACTGTTATATAATTCAACTTCTATCTTTCGATATTCTTCAATGAGTCAATAGGCCTTGTCTTCAAAAAGATAAAATTTAGAAAAACTCCTTTATTTGAGGGAAACTGAAATAAATTTAAGATATGGAGACTGCCACAAAAAATTGCAGACCTGTCATAAAAGATCACATTTGCTGTGATACTGTGATTTTTTTTTTTAAGATTTTATTTGAGAGAGAGTATAAGGGGGGTTTACATAGAGGGAGAGGGACAAGCTGACTCCCCACTAAGTGCAGAGCCACACGTGGGGCTCAATCCCAGGACCCTGAGACCATGACCTGAGACGAAGTCAGAGGCTTAATTGAGCCACCCAGGTGCCCCAATATTGTGATTTATAATAAGAGATGTGTATTTGGTTTTCATCCCCATTTCTGGCACAGAGCTCCCCTAACCCTTGGAATTTACAAAGTGATAGAGAGCTATAAAGGTCTCTTGTGTTATGTTAACGGAGTAACTTTTGGCCAAACAAGGCAAGCATCCAGAGAGGCTGGGTCATGGGAGGGAGCCCTTGAGGTTACAAGGCATCTACCTAATTCCAAGCCCTCACCTACATAAATGTGCATATTTCCACAGAAGGCAGACCTGCAGTAATCTGGACTGCCAGCCAGGGCTAGCTCTGGAGGGCTGACCAGGGTATCCTCCAAAGAGAGACACCTGGGAGCCTTGCTGACTACAGGATGGAGGCTGGTTGCTAGGAGACCCAACCATGTGATTGGAGGGCTGAAACTTTCAGCTCCACCCCCACTGACCTCTGGGGAGGGGAGAAGGGCTGGAGGTTGAATCAATGGCCAATGGCCAAATGAGTTAATTGACTATGTGTTTGTAATGAAGCCTCCATAAAAATCCAAAGGACAGGTTCAGAGAGCTTCCGGGTCAGTGAGCACCTGGGGATTTGTGTGAGTGGTGCACTAGGATGCAGGGAAGCTCCTCGCCCTTCCCCAGACCTTGCCCTATGCATCTCTTCCATCTAGGTGTTCCTGAGTTACATCCTTTTATAAACCAGCAATCCAGTAAGTAAGATGTTTCTCTGAGTTCTGTGAGTCACTCTAGCAAGTTAATAGAACCCAAGGAGGGGGTCCTGGGAACCTCTCTGATTTATAGCCAAAGGGTCAGAAGTACAGATGACAACCTGGGTGCCAATCAGCATCTGAAGTGGGGGGTTGGGGGAGGCAGCCTTGTGGGCCCGAGCCCCTAACGGGTGAGGGTGAGATGCGATACTCCCTCTCAGGAGCTGGTGTTAGATTTGAATTGAATTGTAGGATATCCAGCTGGTGTCTGAGTATTGGTGATGCGGGGGAACATCCCCACACATTGGAACTGGGTGTCAGAATCTTTATTTGCTATGTATGTAGACATATGAGCAGACAATTTATCATATGGATTAGATGTCACATTGAGTTTGGGTAGGAGACAGGCTGCAATTTTCCTAAAGTAACAAAATGGTAGACCTATGGAACCGAGGCCAACAACCAGTAAAATCACTCTTTTGACACTTAATGAAATGAGGATTTTCCATTCTGCCCGAGACACAATGGAAAAAAAGAGTAGGCACTGACCCAAATAAGTCGAAAGCTCTATGACTTATTGGCCTTTGAGTCTTTGTCCTAAAAAGTTGATGACAAGTAACTTGGAAAAAAATGCCAATCATAAGACACAAGGGAGTGACTTTTGTCCCAGTAACTCTTTGTTCTTCTGAAAGTGAAAAACCGAATGACCCATGAGTTCCACATTAAAGGGTCTAAGAAACCTGAAGTGGGAGGAGCAGGGATTTGCTCTGACCCAGCAGAGTAGCAAACACCACTTCTTAGGACTGGTCATCAGTGGCTGCCTGGGGAGAGGAGCAGACCCAGTTAACTAACTGGTGGAGGACTTCTCTGTCCTTGGCCTCCCATGACCACTGAGAGACCCCGTGTCCCTCAAGAGTCCACTTCAGGCCACCTAAGAGTGGAAGGCACTACTGGCTGTAAAGCCCATTTCTTCTGATTATTCCCCAACTGTCCCTTGGACCGTCTCCCAAATCTTGAAGAAAAAAGGAGGCAGATGTGATTTAAAGGAGAAATTTGCTAAATGAGAAATCACTGTTTTATATGATAGCAGGTACATTATTAGTGTTTGCAGATTAAATTATTGGATAGGAGGTACCGAAATGGAAGTGAATTATTAAATTTCTCAGCGCTATACCTCCTTCATCTGACGTTTCTAATCTTAATCCCTTTACCAAAGGTAAAGAGAAGGGTAGTAGGCCTTTGCACTTGTCCCTCATAGACAAGGGAATAATGCGGGTACCCACGGCTCAGTCCCAGAGGCAGGTTTTCAGGTTTCAGTGACACATCACTGTCAGGTTGGTTAATCTGAGGATGATCAGCTGATTTTATTTTACTGTATTTGTCTTATTAACTCTATTGCCTACTGATAAATATCTCTGGCCCGGACTGATTTGTTGTCTTGCTGGGTAGACACTGATCAATAACGTACATAGAGGAAGTGTCTTCGGAAAGTCAGGCAATTGCTCTGATTAGGAATATTCTTCTCCAGCACTCCATGACCTCATTACTCATCTCCTCAGCAAAACTCATTAGAACAAACTCATTAGTTCATTTGATGATTTTAATATATAACAGATGTGGTAAAAATGTATTCTGCAAACAATCAAATAATGGAGTTCTTCCTCAGTTGAAGGGGGAATATGTTAATGTTTTTAATTTTCTTAATTGCTTTTCTCCCAGAAATTTCTCTTAAAACTATTAGTCTTCTGTTGTGAGTGAGCATTAACAGGCACCCAGCTACCTGAACGAGAACAAATGAGTGTTAGTGGAAAGCACAGCTACTACCAACATCAAAACTGCTTTTTTTCCAGGAGCATGTGTGCTTGTGATTACAATTTTTGATTGCATGAATTTTCTCCTGAAAAAACAAAACAAAACAAAAAACTTGTTCTTAGTTTGCAAGATGGGATTTAATCTAACAATCATTCTTTGGTATTCTACAGAGAGAACCATGGCTTCCAGGTGCTCTAATAGCCATCCACAGTTATAAGCCTCAGCTCTGGGTCCTTGGGG